ACTAGCGTCCAGTAAAGTGTGTCCAGATGCGTCTGATGCTTCTGCTGCCAGAGAACGGCTTTGCTATATTTGCTGTGAGTAGTTTTAATATATTTTGAAGTGAGAAAGTCCACCTGAAAACAAGGTCTGTGCAGTCAGTTCATCCAGTACGACGGAGTATTAGGGCCAGTCTAGAGATTTTTTATCTAATTTTGAAAATAAAGCTGTAATATTACGGGAATAAAGTCATAATATTATGAGAATAAAGTTGGAAAAATAAAGAGAATGAAGTCATCATGCCACAACCCATTACAGAAAGCTTGGAGCTCCGCCCAGCAGATGACGGCCGACCAGCTCCACCAATCAGCAACCAGAGTCCACTTTGACATCCTGCCCAGTTTGATGCTGCTGCTAAAAGATTTCCTGATTTGTCAAACCGACGCTAAAGTAGAACTTCACAGGATGCTCCACATTCCTCACTTTAGGGAAGAAAGTGCTTCTTGTAGGAGTTGTCATAAAATACAACTTTATTATCGTAATTTTATGACTTTATTCTCATAATATCGCGACTGCATTCTCTAAATAAAAACAATAATAAATCTGCAGCCTGGCCCTACTACTCCGTCGTACATCCAGATTATCATCCTGCCTTCAAAGATTATTTCTCTGTGGGAGCCGCTCAGACCCCCACATACCGGCGCTGCGCTGTCACAGGGAATCCCCAGCAGCAGCTGCCTCAGGCCCGCTCGCCTCTTGGGGGTTTTCCCCTCCTGTTGGTGGCGGCTGGAAGAAGATGCAGTGTTGCCAACTCAGCGACTTTGTCGCTATATTTAGCGACTTTTCAGACCCCTCCAGCACCTATTTTTCAAAAAAGTGACTAGCGACAAATCTGGCGACTTTTTACGGTCTCACTGGCGGCTTTTGAAAGCTCTTACGTGAAAGCATGTATCGTTCCTACTCTTGTCCTCCAGCGGCAGCTGCTGCCGTGGGGCGCCTCCCCCATCCCAACCCCGTTCTCCCGCAGGAGTCCCTCTCAGCGCTGCAGTCAGAGCCACAGGATGTTTACCCTCAGCGTCCAGACTACAAATAAACCGCGCATGCGCCGGGATTGACGGCGTAAATTGATCAAATTGTTTTTACTCACTTTTTGTCTTTCTGTAACGACATTATTTGTCCCACAGCATCAATAACATGCACATCACTTCCTGTGGCAGATTATGCATATTAGGCGATGATGTCATTTAGCGACTTCTAGCGACTTTTAGCACAGCCAATAGCTACTTTCCTTACTGAGGAGTTGGCAACACTGAGTAGATGTTAGCGTTTTTCAGGTCTGTGCTACAAACTGCAGGCAGCAGGATAATAAAAGCCAACATATTCTGCCGGCAGGTTTCTACATTTGAAGTTAATTTAGGCGTTAATAAACTGTTTCAGAGGAGTGATCATAGCGCTCTGCATCAGCAGTGCTGCGTCTGACTCCCTGCCAGCTCCCAGATCAGCTTCTCTCATTGGTTGATTCGGCGCATCCAGCAGCTAAAGTTAAATTTTTGGAACTACATCATCTTTTGCTTTTGAAGCGTGTCACACGGCTCAGATCCTCTAGACGCGCTGCAGGACCTTTTTATGCGCCTTGATGTGCGTCAACTTTAGCGGCTGCTTCTGCTCCTCAAAGCGCGTTAGGTGTAAACGTAGCTTAAGGTTCTCACCTTAAATCTGATAGAATATCTTTGAAGATTAGGGTGATGGTAAGTAGGCTTTTCAACTTATTGGAATTTGATCCTATTATTGAAGATATACGCTCTGATAAGTATTTCAAACCATGCAGTGCAACAGGGAATGCTTAATCAAAGTGTGTGATAGCCAGAGATGGGAAGTAACGAAGTACAAATACTGATATTTTTACTTTACTTTACTACTTATTTTTATGGCGACTTTTTACTTCTACTCCTTACATTTTTACAAAAATATCTGTACTTTCTAATCCTTACATTTTAAAAAATTGTCTCGTTACTTTAGTTTTGAATCATTTCAATGGAGTTACCGTTATTATTTTTCACGTCATCAATACCAAATTCAATCTAATTGGATGGGAATCTACGTTGCATTTGACGCACCGCTACAAGATGAATCGACAGATTCGGCGGTATTCATTGGCGGCAAATCATTGCAGCTTGGTGGCGGTGGCGTTAGCATAGTAGCATGGACAACGAGATGATTGAAAATGAACACAACAGAGATCTAGTCCTATTGGCAGACATCCATTTAAAATGTAGGCAACGGCATGAAAAAAGTGGTTTCTACTTTTACTTTTAGACTTTAAGTACATTTACAAGCCTGTACTTTGTTACTTTTACTTGAGTAAAGAAGTTTAATCAGTACTTCCACTTTTACCAGAGTATTTTTTAACACAAGTATCTGTTCTTTTACTCAAGTACGGAAAGTGAGTACTTTTGCCATCTCTGGTGATAGCTAATATTTCACAGGTTTAAATATTTCTACTTCAAATAACTTTTTTATGTGATTACTGTCAGGTTTATTCAATGATGATTATAAAGTTAATGTATGTGCATTTGGAACTTAGATGCTTAACTCTAATTACTGCAAACTGTCATGCAACGGTGGTAGAAAACTGCTGATGTTTGTGCAAGGATAATCACAGGAGACCACTCTATTCTGTGATCCAATCAGAGGAGCATTTTGTCCTATGACCTGATCAATTGTCTTGTCAGAGGAACACTCTATTTTGTAACCCACCCCATGTGTTATGATCTGCTAATAAAAAGGCTTTGCAGCAGAAGTCAGTCAGAGAGCAGATGTAGCTGAAAGTGGAGCTCTCCTTCTGCAGAAGCCAAAAATCCCTATTCTGTGCAGACTCAGTTTCTCTTTTATGAACCTACATTTTTGAACGTACCAATTACTTCCTGCCTCTGACTGGTAAAGCTGTAAGAGTAATGGCATTTAATGACAATAACAAGAGGCCGTCTCCTCCAGGTAAGGCTACACTCTGCCTCTCAGCTCCTCCAGCAGCATTAAAACATCCAATTGTTCACAGGGTGACAGCTGATCTCTAGATCTGCCATCTCATGCGCTGGCCGTCTGAAAACCCTCCAGAGTGCTCCTCTCAGGTCCGGAACGTTTCACCAGCGATGGAAGCTATTTGAGGGTGGAGAAGAGTCACTGTTTTGCCAGGAAAAAACTCAAATCGACTCGAGATGTTAGACCTGAGCAGATCTGATTCCGTCGCACTGACAGAGATCCCATTCGTGACCTCAGTGTAAGGTCAATGGAAGTTTGAGTCAGATCTTAATGTGTGTGGATGCCTGGAAGTATAGGAGGGAAACTATTCGCACCCCTTAAAGTGTTCCATGTTTTCTCATGTTATTACCATAAAAACTTCTGCAGTTTAATAAGATCTGAAGTTATAGACCCTGCAAAGGACAATAATGATACATGTCCGACCCCTATGCTTCTTTAAAACAACTCATAAGGAATATTTGCTTCCCTCGTCTCCATCACCTTCATCTTATGTGTCTGATCTCTTAACACCACTTGGTTTTGGGTAATCCTTACCTATTTTGCATACCCAAATGGAAAAGCAAATGACTGAGGAACTTTAAGCCCAATTTACATGTGTGATACATCATTTGAAAGTTAATTCCTTCCAGTTTCTGAAAATATAAATGAAAATAGTGTGACTAAAACACAGCTTAAACTGCGTCAGTTAAAACATGACTCAAAGTTGTTTTTTTACTCTTGAGAAATGATAGGTCTTATTTGAACAGCAGTAATAAAGACAAGCTTGAGAATAGGCAGGTTTCATTCTATTCCATTTGTTCTACATCATGTCAACCACAAATGTAGAAAATTTCAGACCTCTAACTCCAACAGTTCCAGAGCTGCAGGGTTTTGAACTTTTGGTGTCACCAGCGTCTCCAAATGACCCCAAATTGTGCCATTTGACCCACAGAATAACACTGAAGCATTTTGATCGCCACAATATATTTCCTATATACTTCCTTCATTTTCCTCCCTTCCTCCCTCCCTTCCTTTACTTGTCCTTCCTTCCTTCCTTTACTTGTCTTTCCTCCCTCCCTTCATTTACTTGTCCTTCCTTCCTTCCTTCCTTCCTTCCTTCCTTCCTTCCTTCCTTCCTTCCTTCCTTCCTTCCTTCCTTCCTTCCTTCCTTCCTTCCTTCCTTCCTTCCTTCCTCCCTCCCTCCCTTCCTTTACTTGTCCTTCCTTCCTTCCTTCCTTTACTTGCTCATCTTTCCTTCCTTCATTTACTTGTCCTTCCTTCCTTCCTTCCGTCCTCCCTCCCTTCATTTACCTGTCCTTCCTTCCTTCCTTCCTTTACTTGCTCATCTTTCCTTTCTTCATTTACTCGTCCTTCCTTCCTTCCTCCCTCCCTCCCTTCATTTACTTGTCCTTCCTTCCTTCCTCCCTCCCTCCCTTCATTTACTTGTCCTTCCTTCCTTCCTTCCTTCCTCCCTTCATTTACTTGTCCTTCCTTCCTTCCTTCCTCCCTCCCTTCCTTTACTTGTCCTTCCTCCCTCCCTTCCTTTACTTGTCCTTCCTCCCTTCCTTTACTTGCTCATCTTTCCTTCCTTCATTTACTTGTCCGTCCTTCCTTCCTTCCTTCCTTCCTCCCTCCCTTCATTTACTTGTCCTTCCTTCCTTCCTCCCTCCCTTCATTTACTTGTCCTTCCTTCCTCTCTCCCTTCCTTTACTTGTCCTTCCTTCATCCCTTCCATCATACCATCAAATTCCTCAGAAAAAAATAATTCTGAAATACTTTGTCATTTGCAGTAGAAAGATATAAAAGTGTGAAAAACTTTACAGGACGTGAATTCGGCTGCGATAATATGGGAGAATATTCCTTCCATCTTGGTTGATGAGGTACGTTGTTCCATTCAGAGGCAACATCTGTCCGCCTGATTTCACACTCTGCTATGTTATGTTTTGGGAATATGGAAGGAAAAGAAAGGTAGGGAAAAAAAAGAAGCAGTGGAACATTAACTTTACCGTTTTGTTCCTCCAGCTCATTGCCGATCTCTTGGCCCATTATCTTCTGCCGGCTGATGACGGCTGCTAGAGCATCCAGGCCTTGGTCCTGAGCTGAAAGAGAAGAGGAAAACAACCGTGGAACCGGAGGACGAGGTGGAGGGAAAAAGCAACGCAGCAGACATGTGACTGGAAGGGAAAACACTTCAAGACTTCTGGAGGTGTCTAAGTTTGACATTTTCTCTACTAAAGGAGACCACAAGTTCACCAAAACCTCCATGTGGTTATAAGTTACAGCTTTTTAAGCTAATCGACTGAAAGTCTGCAGACGGTAAACAAATCTACAGACTGGGAGTCTGCAGGGAAAAACATTTCTCAGCGATTTAAGCTTATTAAAGGCAAGAATGAGAAAAAAGGACAGAAAGTTGCTCATATAAGAATCCCATATGACCCAAGGATTTGATATCATGATTAAAATTACATTTTACAGTAATTTATAGGGATGCACGATATAATCGGCGCCCTATCGGTATCGGCCTTAAAACTGAATATCGGACATCGGCCACCCCACCGATATTTAACCCGATATTTGATCAGCTTCTGAGTTTCTACAGTCTAAAAAAAAAATAAAATACTACGTCTTCTTCTTCCTCAAAAACTTCTTTTTTACAGACTTAAAAACTTCTAAAGAGGAGGGAAAAAATATTGATAAATTAAAATATCCCAATATCTTCATATGCTGATATATTGCCATTTAAAAACACCATATCAATCTCTTTTACTAATGAAATATTGCTATATGTCATCGTTATGCTACGAAATCCCCCCAAAATTCACCAAATGTTGCCATATTTTTATATGTTGATATATTGACGCGGTATCGATCTATTTTACTAACAAAATCTCACAAGAATTTGCAAAATATCACGAGAGTTTGTAACAGAACGATGAAATTTCACCAGATTTTGAAAGTAAAATAGATCGATACCGCGTTTTTAAAAATCTATTTGATATCAGCATATGAAAATATATTTGAGTATATTATTTTTCAAAGTGTCAGAAATGGATAACAAAACTGCTATTTTCAATGACTACTTATTTTTGTCCAGCTTTAACATTGGTATCGATATCGGTTATCGGCTACATGAGTTTTAAAATATCGGCATATCGGATATCGGCCAAAATTCCAATATCCTGCATCCCTAGTAAATTAATTCACACATTTTCTTCAAAAAGGAAAAGTTCAGTCAGCAAGGAATAATAAATGGATCATTTTTGTGGGGACTATTTGAGCAAAACTAAAATTCAAAAATAAAAAAACTTAAAGCTACAGTGTGTAATTTTTAGCGACATCTAATGTCCAGACTGCAGACCGCAGCAACATGAACATCTCCCCCCCACCGCTTCTCCCCCCCAACAGTACGGCGAGCGTTACGGGACAAAATGTCTTCCACGACGTCCGCATCACCTACCTTCTCAAGTGATGAGGTTTGTTTACATAGATAATTTTACAGATAGTATTTCATTAGTCTGTGTAGGGTATAGATTTCAGTACCGTCTCAGTTCATCTCTCTCAACTTGCCGTAGTTACTTTCGAGCATAATGGGCGATCTCGCAATCGCTAGTTTGTTGGCTCTGCGCTGCCGTAGCGCAAAGATGTCTGCCTCCATGGCTGCGAGACCCGCTCCTATGTAATTATAAATAATGAATTCTAAGGCAACGCAAATATTAAGGTTAAGAGGCTGAGCTCGTAGATGATGATAAATAACATAGTTATGTATAATATATTACATTTCTGACTTTATATCCCTGTAATTATTACACACTGTAGCTTTAAGACTTAAAGTTGGTGAAAGCAAAAGGTGAATTGAATGCAAATAGCCACCTGATGAACAGTGGATTATGACTTAAGCAGGCCAAAAAAATCAAAAAGATCAAAAATCCAGTTGTTTGCTTGCTTTATTTGTCTGTTCAGACAAACAGCCTGCAGGATTCACAGGATTCTTCTATTGCTCTCACTCTGATTCCTGCACCTGTTCTTTGATTGACTGATTGACTGAAAAATGAAAACTGGTAAAAAAAAAAAAAAAACATATGACCACCCATGTGCATAATGAGCTACCTAAGACCTCCCTACTGTGAAACACCCACATCCCAAGCTAAAATTAATTAACTAATTAAGTGAATCACTAAACAAATCATATTCTAAATAAGAAATCTAAATAAATAATCCAAATTCTAAGATTTAACTGAAAATGGAGAAATAGCTCCTACAATTTTCTCTATTTGTTTTCGATAATGAGATGAATGTTCGTCCAAATAGCCAAACATCGTTAGAATGAAGATCTTTTTATATAACTCTGCATCTTATCAAACGAATCCAACTGTAAATTTAATGCTGGACTCAGCAATTAATGTCTCACCTGAAGAAGAGGCGTTTTTGTCACTTTCTCCCTCAAAGAAATGTTTTTAACTACTATTAAAGGTCGTCTGGTTGTTGCCCCTCTAGTTCACCTGTTGTTCATTTCATTAACACCAAAGCAGCTGAAACTGATTAACAACCCCCTCTGCTACTGACCTGACCAAATCAATATCCCATAAGTTTAATTAACTTGATGCTATACTCTGATTACAAAGTGTTCCTTTCATTTTTTTGAGTAGTATATATATATATATATATATATATATATATATATATATATATATATATATATATATATATATATATATGTATAAGGCTGGGCAAGTTAACTCGTTATCACGTTAACTCATCAATCAATTAATGCTGACAATTATTTTATCTCGTATTAACGCAGTTTTTATTATTTCTTTTATTACTGTAAAAGTCTGTTGCTCCCAGGCTTTTATTTTGTAAAACTAAAAACTACCGGGACCGGAAAAGACAAGAAATTGGCGGATAAACAAACCAACAAACATGGAGAAGGGTACGGCACTTTTACACGGCCGTTTTCAACTTAAAGTTCTTTCAGGCGGCGCAGTCCACAGAAGCAAAGTTATTTGTAATCACTGCAAAGTTGAATTGTCTTATCACTGGAGTAGTTTGGATCTAAAATATCACCTAAATGCGAAACACACAGTTGATACCAGCAAATCATTTAAAGAAACAGACGGCAGCGCGAGGCTTCAGCAGACTACGTTAGATGCAGCGTGTGGGAGAAGTATAGATAAACAAAGGCAAGAGAAGCTAACAAATGCCATAGCGAAGTGGATCGCTGCAGACTGCAGGACGATTAGTATATTTAGACTATTTCCCTGCACAGTAAATCCCAGCAGTATACTTTTTTTTTGTGCTTCATGTCAGGTTTATTCAATGCTGATTATAAAGTTAATGTATGTGCATATGGAACTTTAAAGAAATGATATGCTAAATTCTGTTTACTGCAAACTGTCATGCAACGGTGGTAGAAAACTGCTGATGTCTGTGCAAGGATAATCACAGGAGACCACTCTATTCTGTGATCCAATCAGAAGGAGCATTTTGTCCTATGACCTGATCAATTGCCTTGTCAGAATAACACTCTATTCTGTAACCCACCCCATGTGTTATGATCTGCTAATAAAAAGGCTTCTGCTGAGGAAACCCACCAGAGAGAGCAGATGTGGCTGAACGTGGCTCTCTCCCTCTGCAGAGGTCAAAAATCCCTATCCTGTGCAGACTCAATTTCTCTTTTATGAACCTACATTTTTGAACGTACCGGTAACACTTCACCTCACTCTAACAGGGACATTTGGTACTAGACTGGTTAGTTTGCTCCCTGATTTAAAAAAACATAAAAGCTTTCTGCTGTTACTTCAGAAATGTCCTGTTTTAATGTCATGATTGTGACTCAGGATTTTGTGGGCAGTTTTTATTTAACTGCTACTGTAAACAAAATGCTGATGTTAAGTGTTTGCAGACCAAACGTTATGGCACTTCCTTAATATGACAGAACATTTAAAATAAAATTGGGCTATACACTACATTTGAATTCATTATTGGTTTTTTTTGGCGAATAAAAATGTGATTAATTACAATTAATCAGGGAAATCATGAGATTAATCGCGACTAAAACTTTTAATCGTTGACCAGCCCTAATATATATATTAAAATACATATTTTAAAGCATCTGCTATCATTTTAATGATATTAATAATAGTTTGTAGAGGTCAAAGGTCAGTGAACATCTGGTCATGCTGAAACTGTGAATTTCATATAAATTATAAGTTGCTAACCTATAAATGTAGGTTAGCAGGTTAGAATGGGGGGGCTGGTAGCACATTTCTTTATATCTTTAAAATGATAGCAGTACAAATGAAATTTTTTGCTGCACGAACGTTTCGCACCAATTTTATCTAATTTGAAGATGGTGGGTTGGGGGGGTGGGGTGGGGGGTACCTATCTGAAATGCAGAGCGTTGAACTCGCAGCCCTGCTGGAGGAAATCGGTCTGAACGCACCTTTAGCTTCATTCATCATTCAACAAACTCAACCTTAGTAAATTCTAGGGCTGCTTGTTGGATCTTAAAGTTCAGATTTCATCCATCCTGAAGCTGCGAAGTGAAAATTACCTTCAATGATTCTCTGCTGCTGCTGTTTAATCTCCCCAAAGGACAGCCCCCTGGTCTCCTCTGACTCGTTGATGAGCCAAGGGTTAGCCGTGTTGCCTCCGCCTGCAGCAGCTCCTCCGCCGTCCATCAGCGTAGATCTGGGATTCATAGAGACGTCCATCTGAGTCATTTTAATCAAAAGGCTGTTTTATCCTGATGCTCGTGTATTTTTCATAAATTTTACTGAGCTAATAGTTTGTAGCATTTGCTGCAGTTACTTGTGATCTTTTAAATCTTTCTTGGGTTGAAATCAGATCTAGACTTTGACTAGGCCATTCTAGCCCAGAACGTCTACGGTCACTGTGGTGCTGAAAGCTTCTAGCAGCTTTCCTTTCAGGATGGAGCTGCATCCGTGCTCTGATCAACTCAACTCCCACAGCAACAGGCTGCCACCACCATGCCTAACAGTGAGATCTAAACATCTCAGGTCACTTTCCAGTTTACCAGATCATCCAGTCAGATTGATTCAAAGTTTTCTATCTAAGGAAAACCAGCTGATTGCATCGACTCATTGACTCTTCAGCAATCCCTCACACTAAGCATGCTTGTAGCGACAGTGGAGAGGAAAAACTCCCTTTGAACAGGAAGAAACCTCCAGCAGAACCAGGCTCAGTGTGAGCGGCCATCTGCTGAGGCCCACTGGGGTTCAAGGAGACAGAAGCAGACATAGAAAAAGAAGCATAGATACAAAAGGCAACTGTCAACCAGCTCCACAGGCGGCCCCGTCCAGGAAACACACAGCCAGGCAGACGAGCTCCGAGCCAGCTCCCATGTCAGAGGATGAAGAGAGCACATCCAGTTAGTCACAGTCAGAGAAACAGGACTACACTGGAAAACAGGCCAAGCTCCAACATCTAGAAACAAGGGTGTTGATGGCAGCAGCACAGCTGATATTTCTCTCCAGGATGGAGTCACAGCCAAACAGGAACAGACCAGATGAAGCTACTATGAGAAAAAGCAGAGAGCAGAACGTTAGAGATTGAACTAACAGATTCTGCAGAGTGGGAGAATAGAGATAGAATGAAGCAGAATGATGAAAAAGGGGTCCCTATGTCCTCCAGCAGTCTAAGCCTATAGCAGCAGAACTATAGAGATAGCTCAGGATAACCTGAGCCACTCTAACTAGAAGCTTTATCAAAAAGGAAAGTTTTAAGCCTAGCCTTAAAAGTAGACAGGGTGTCTTTTAAAAATTCTAGGAACCACTAGTAAACCTACCCCATGTCTCGCCCAGATTCTTTAAACCAAGCAAAATGTGGAAATCCTTATAATATCCCTTTAACTGTAAAGTTACATGCTGTTTGCAGCCAATAACATATAACCCAAATGAAATTTATTAAAGTTTGTGTTTTTAATTTAGAAAAGCTAACGATGTTAAGAGGTATAACTTCTTCTTATAGCATTGGAAGGTCGTAAACACACGAGCGAGCCTCTTTCTGTGGATTATGTTTTTAGTGTTTTTGTTACTCTGAGGGTTTGAAGCTGAGGTTGATCCCATCGGTGCAGCGGAGGAGACGCTCAGGCAAGTCTTTCTAACAGCTTTGATTATTATTAGACCAAGAGCCAGACAGGCACTTCCTCCACTCCAGCACCTATTGTGTAAAGATCCAATTAAACAGTCTGTGGAGAGAAGCAAATTCAGTCAGGCACATCTTTTGGCAGCCATAAAGGAGACGACTGTCATCAGTGAGCATCCAGATCCTGGCTGAGCGACACGGACAGGCGAGATTTAACTAATTACAACCATTTCCTGAGCAAACGAAGACGGGAAAGGTTAGAGCGGCACAAGTAGGTCTAAAGGAAAGGATGAGATTTTAAGAGACGCTTGAAATGTAAAAGTTCAACTTCTCCTGTCGGCTGAAATTTGCTCATTCTACTCAACGTTTCAACCAAAAGTAGCTTAGATCATTCAAGCGTGGTCTAATCCGTCCCCTCCCACACTTCTGTCCTCTCAGACCACACAGCAGGAACGGCCCTGACGCCTTCCCTACAGTCCAGATTACCCGCCGCACATCGCCATTAAAGTCGGGCCTCAGTGGGCAAGCTGAAAGCCGTGGGACCACATGATTACAGTTAGCTGAGCTAATTTAGCCTGGTTTCCTCATTGTTAGGAAGCCTTTTATGTAATTGAGTGCGTGGTCCGCAGGAAGATGAAAGCCTGCAAAGCAGCGCTAAGAAGATCAATACTAAAGATTGTGAAAGACATCGTAGAAACACAACCTCATAGACAAGGTTGTAATCAAAAATATTTACAGCGGACGCTATTTTTTTTGTTTACGTTCTGCAAGATTAAAAAAACCTCAGTGGTTTCAAAATATTCATTAGAGAGGGCGGGAAAAGTCAGCCACATGGCATCCCTTCATAACTAACTAACCCATAAGTACAGATGGGTGATTCAGGGCCCATTATATGGTTGATAAACACGTCAAAGATTCAGATAAAAAAATTAAAAAAAAACACAAAAATAGGGTAAATCCTCCTTCTCACATATAAAGCCTTAAATGGCCAAGCTCCATCTGATATCAGAGATCTGATTGTTCCTTATGTTCCTAACAGAGCACTTCGCTCTCAATCTGCAGGTTTACTAGTGGTTCCTAGAATTTCTAAAAGTAGAATGGGAGGCAGATCTTTTAGTTCTCAGGCTCCTCTCCTGTGGAACCAACTACCAGTTTTAGTCCGTGAGGCAGACACCCTGTCTACTTTTAAGGCTAGGCTTAAAACTTTCCTTTTTGATAAAGCTTCTAGTTGGAGTGGCTCAGGTTATCCTGAGCTATCTCTATAGTTGTGCTGCTATAGGCTTAGACTGCTGGAGGACATAGGGACCCCTTTTTCATCATCCTGCTTCATTCTATCTCTATTCTCCCACTCTGCAGAATCTGTTAGTTCAATCTCTAACGTTCTGCTCTCTCTGCTTTTTCTCATAGTAGCTTCATCTGGTCTGTTCCTGTTTGGCTGTGACTCCATCCTGGAGAGAAATATCAGCTGTGCTGCTGCCATCAACACCTTTGTTTCTAGATGTTGGAGCTTGGCCTGTTTTCCAGTGTAGTCCTGTTTCTCTGACTGTGACTAACTGGATGTGCTCTCTTCATCCTCTGACATGGGAGCTGGCTCGGAGCTCGTCTGCCTGGCTGTGTGTTTCCTGGACGGGGGGGGGGGCGCCTGTGGAGCTGGTTGACAGTTGCCTTTTGTATCTATGCTTCTCTTTCTATCTCTGCTTCTGTCTCCTTGAACCCCAGTGGGCCTCAGCAGATGGCCGCTCACACTGAGCCTGGTTCTGCTGGAGGTTTCTTCCTGTTCAAAGGGAGTTTTTCCTCTCCACTGTCGCTACAAGCATGCTTAGTGTGAGGGATTGCTGAAGAGTCAATGAGTCGATGCAATCAGCTGGTTTTCCTTAGATAGAAAACTTTGAATCAATCTGACTGGATGATCTCGTGAACTGGAAAGTGACCTGAGATGACATGATGTCAATTGGAGCTATAGAAATAAACTGAATAGAATGGGAATGGATCTGAGAGTGGAAGAAGCTATGATCCTAAAATCAAAAATATGCTTCTGCTCATTAACTATGAACATTTCGTCAGATATGCAGCGTCTCTATGTTAATACCTGGATGGTTCAGGCTCTGCGGCGTCTCGTTTGAAGGAGGCGTTGAGCCGCTTCTCTCTGGTTAGCAGCTCGTCGATCAGGTTCTGCCTCCTGTCGGCTTCAGACTGCATTCTGAGGAGAGGCAGTTAAGGTTCCATCATATCATCATCATCATCAGTCACTGTAGACTCAAAGGAATCTCCTGATCCAGAGCAGAGACTGTTCTGTTTTATGGAGCTCTGCCGCCCTCTACAGGAACATCATGGTTACTGCAGGCAGAATCAACCCTGGATGACAGTCATCTCAGTCTCATGACTTTTACAGCTCGTGACAAAAGGCAGGGAAATAAAAGGATACATGCGCCGAGATGAGGAGCTCCTCAACAGGCCCTCTTTGAGCTGAGCAATGTTCTGTTTGAGTTTCTGAAGGGACGCTCGCAACGTCATGTTGACCTGCAAAAGATTTAAAAAAAAGGCATCTGGGTGAACATCAGAGCCCTTTGCTCATCAGGAGGAAAAGAAGAGGGAAATTACACCTTTGCAGGGTTTCCCCCCGTTCTTTGCTGCCGGTTCCTCTCATGGATGTTCTCTGCTATCTCCTGAGCCAGGCGGCAAGTGGCGTCGTAGTTCTGCAACCTACAGGAGAGGTGGAGGAAGAGAGGGGCACGATGAAGCAGCCACAGACGTCTTCATTATATCAGTTTATAAGAGTCTTTATAATTTTAAACCACAAAAAATGACAATTTGCTTTAGATTCTCAGTCATCCCGGTCATAGTCGTCCAAAAAGTTAAAAAACATTCACTGGACTTTGTTTCCAAGTTTGAAGACGTTTCTCTTCCATCATGGAAGCTTTATCAATTCAAAATGTCAGAAATAGCATTTAGTTCCAGGTTTTATACATTAGCAGGGAACAGAAGACCTCACCTGTTCATCCAGGCCAACAATTCCCTCTAACGACCCCCCTTTCAGAGACATAGAAAAGGTATGGGGCATTGCAGGCTAACAAAGAAGCCAAACGACCCCCATTCCAAAGGGGGGGACCCGTTCATCCGTTTCTATTTGCATGTTTTCTAAACTAAAGCCAGGCTTTGTTGGGCTGCTGGATAAAAAAATCAGATTAATCGATTATTGAAATAACCCTCAACTCATTTAGCAATCGATTAATCATTAAATAGAGGATAGAGACTGTAAAACACGCCTTTAACTGACAGAGCGACACACATAGAGCAGGAATTAGACCTAGATTGTAAAAATAAATATATATATATATATATATATATATATATATATATATATATATATATATATATTTATATATGAACATTTTGCATTTATGATAAAAATCTGCTCTATCCAGACCTCCATCCATCCATTTTCATCACGCTTTATGTCTACAGGCGAGAGGCATAAACAGCTGGACAGGTTGCCAGGGCAACACAGAGACACACAAGTCAAACAACCGTCCACACACTCACACCTAAAGAGAAATTAGAGAAGCCAATTAACCCAACAGTCATGTTTTTGGACTGTGGGAGGAAGCCGGAGTACCCGGAGAGAACCCACGCATTCTCATGGAGAACATGCACACTACATGCAGAAAGACCCTGGGCTGGGAATTGAACCCAGAACCTTTTTGCTGCAAGGCAGCAGGGCTACCCACTGCTCCACCGAGCAGCCAAAGCTCTTTGGTCTTCTTTAAGGAAACTTTGACTATCCAATTATTTTCAATTAATCAATCAAACTATTTCTTTATTGTCAACTACAATTTACATCGATAATTCAGTTTCAGTACAAACTGTTCATAAAAATAATAATAATACATTTTATTTAAAAAGGCGCCTTTCTGGACACTCAAGGTCACTGTACAAAGGCATAAAAAAGTGTCAGAAGAAATTAAAATAAAGACATTTAAAAACATTTAAAAAATACAGAGGCTGTGACAGTGAAATTGAATTTAAAGAGAATAACATAACGATTTCCTGATGTCATGCGTGCCACGGAACGCTGCCTTTGACGCGTTCTTATGGCGGCCAACGTGAGGCGGTTCCCTATAGCGCTGCCTTTAATCGATTGATTGACAAAAATCATCAGCAGATTAATCGATTTTCAAAATAAAACAATTATTTTTCAGTCCAAACCTGGACCTTAATTGGGATTAATTGGGATTTTAACGAGCTGTGAGGAAATGAAGATGAGTGAACCCCAATGGACTGAAGCAACACTGTAAAGATGGAGCAAAAGATCAATAAAATTAATAGAACCGGTCTGACCACATGAAATAGGCATAAAGATCTAAAAAGATCACACATCCTGCGCCAACCGCTAATAAATATCGAGAACGGATGAAAAACAAATTTTGTTCTAAAAAAGTTACTGAGTTTTTCCTAAAGCTTTGGGAGTCCAGTGAAGCACAGAGACAAATATGGAAAACCAAGAGCAGCGGAGAAGCTTCTCAGGACGGCTGCACTTAAAAAATTAATCAGATTAATCGATTATTGAAATAATCCTTAACTAATATAGTAATCGATTCATTAACTGGAGTATAAAGACAGTAAAACACGCCTTTAGCTGACAGAGCGACTTACTTAGAGCAGGAATTATACCAAGATAGTAAACCAAAAAGTGTTAATATTTTACATTTATGATAAATATATTTTTCTTCTGTCAATCTCCTCATGTGGAAAAGTTTTCCGTATTCGTTCACATTGGCCTGTTTTCCAGTGTAGTCCTGTTTCTCTGACTGTGACTAACTGGATGTGCTCTCTTAATCCTCTGACATGGGAGCTGGCTCGGAGCTCGTCTGCCTGGCTGTGTGTTTCCTGGACGGGGTCGCCTGTGGAGCTGGTTGACAGTTGCCTTTTGTATCTATGCTTCTTTTTCTATGTCTGCTTCTGTCTCCTTGAACCCCAGTGGGCCTCAGCAGATGGCCGCTCACACTGAGCCTGGTTCTGCTGGAGGTTTCTTCCTGTTCAAAGGGAGTTTTTCCTCTCCACTGTCGCTACAAGCATGCTTAGTGTGAGGGATTGCTGAAGAGTCAATGAGTCGATGCAATCAGCTGGTTTTCCTTAGATAGAAAACTTTGAATCAATCTGACTGGATGATCTGGTGAACTGGAAAGTGACCTGAGATGACATGATGTGACTGGCTCTATAGAAATAGACTGAATAGAACTGAAAAGATCCCAGAGTTACAGAGCAGTACATTTTTTGGTAATTAGCACCAAAACGTTCAACATGTTTTTTAGAACAGGCCCATATCTAATGATCTGCATCAGAAAGCAGCCAGTTGAAGGAAAATGAGCCATTTTTAGGCTGGTTGTGGATCCGGACATGCGCAGTCCTGGCTGACAGTTAGTGATAAATATCAGAGTTTCCATCACTTTAAATACAGCCACAATGATCGATGGATGAAGAAACATAAACAGATCATTTTTTCGGCTAACTTTGGTGACTAACTAGTAGCTACGGAAGCCGAATGGGTACAAAATCAGAAAGAACCGACCGGACGTAAAAAAGAGAAATATTTCTGAAGGTTTGTTGTATTAGAAGCTAAAGTCGCTCACCAGGGGTCCTGAGACATCTTCTAAAAGTTAACCACGATCCGAAATAACACACTTTCAGGCCGGGGAGTAATCACTGGCAATCCGTTCCTTGTTTGGGTCTGACGTCACTACGGCGAGCGCCGAGGACATTCTTCTTCTTCTTGTTGGATTTGTTGGCGGTTGGCAACAAACCTGTAGTTGGATTACCGCCACCTACTGGTATGGAGTGTGGTTCGTGATGCAATATCTACTAATAAACATATATAAATTCTAAGAAATCAAAAAACAAAGATATATGATGGAATGTATATATAGAATTTATATACATTCTATATGTATATAGAATTCTAGCTGATAGAATGTATATATGTATATACACGCATACACACACAAATATACATATTTATACATAACTTTTTATTCTAGCCATCTATATCATAAACACATTCATCCTCTATAATCAAATTCTATGAAATTATTTTTTTTTTAAATCGAATAATTATTTGTATATGTTTACTCCCTAAATTCTTCCTCATATTATCTGATAAATTTATATTTTCTTTAATACATTCAAAGTCTCTCCTCATATCTTCTCTCTTTCATATTTATGACATTCCAGTATATTTTTTCACATTTTCCAGAAGTTTGCTTTTGAATTTTAAAAAGTGTTTAATTAAGTCCTGTTTGCTTAAATCTTAACGTCGTTATCTCTCTCTCGTCCTTTCTATATCGTCTTCCATTTCTTCTTTTTCCTACTTTCTTCTGAATTTTATAAAACCATCTTCCTGTTTTTTCTTCATCCAACCTTTTATTTTTGACATTTTTCCATCAGTTTTTCTTTAATAAAACTCTTTCCCTCCCATTTACTTGTTTTAACTGTAAAACTACCAGGATTTTAAATTTCCCTGAGGATTTTTCTTCTTCTTCTTCTTCTTCTTCATTTTAATGGCGGTTGGCAAACAACTATTTGGTGCATTACTTCCACTGTATTTTAAATACATTAATCTACGGAAGCGTATTGCATTCACCAAAGGAAAAAAAAATCTGCTTATCTCATAATTCAAGATACTGATCTCGTAATTATAAGATAAACCGTCTGATTTTCTTTTTTCTTTTGTGCAATACGCTGATTTAATGTTAATCTGATTTAATATTTTTATTTCTTTTTTTCTGCAGTTGATTCAATTCATTTTTTAAACATTTTGTTGCCAAAGATATGAAGACACATTTATTTCCCTCAAAAAAAAAAAAAAAAAAAAAACAAGTGGCTACCAAAGCAGAAATCTCAGAAAATACAAAATTAAACTTTAATTAATCTCAGAAATATAAAACTTAAAGAGGTGAGAATTATTTAATGTTCTATATGTGACTTTTACAAGCAGCAATTTTGTTATCGAAGGATTAGGATCACTGGGAAAAAAATGTTTTTTAATTTTATTTAGTTTATTATGGGGAAAAAAAGTCAGAATTCCAACTTTAATTTCAGAATTCTGATTTTAATCTCAGAATTTTGGATCTTAATCTTCTGGAAGAGGATTAGGGCCGCTCAAAAAAAAAAAAAAAAAAAAAAAGTCAACTGATTTTTAAATATTATTTCAGTTTAATATGGGAAAAAATTCTGAGATTAAAGTCAGAATTCTGACTTTAATCTCAGAATTGTTAGAAGGCAGAGATGTGGAGCACACAGCATCACTGATAAAGATGTGAGTAGTTTGGGAGAAACAGGAACACATTGGTGGAAAATTACAGAATTAGGCAACTTTTTCCGTCCCTGAGGGTCCCTGCTGATGCTATTTCATTAATAGAAAATGATTAAAACAAGAGAGCAAGTCTCTAAAACAGACATGGCTACGGCTTGATGCTAACATGTTTTATATTAGAATTCAGGCAGAATTCTGACTTTTTTCCCATATTAAACTGAACTAATATTTAAAAATCAGTTAACTTTTTTTTCCAGTGGCCCTAATCCTCTTCTGAATGATTTAACTTTCTGCTTGTAGTTTTCCGTTAGAGTTGGGATTTCCCAGGCCTGATGTGCAGCTGTGGCAGAAACTCTGCTTTCACAGACAGATGAAGCTTTCAGAAAGATAAAAACGTCTTTGTCCCAAAGTTTTAACAGTTTTTGCTGTTATTTATTGTATGTTAAAGGGGGAGTTTATAAGAACACTTCAATCAAAGTCATTTGACACCAGAATAAAGATTACTGTTCATGGATACAGAATTATTTCATCTGAAATGTTGTGAAACTTCCAGAAATTGAACTTTAAGCTTACTTTGTGTTTTCATTTAACTGGTTGAGATTTTTTTGCAGCTTTTTTACCCAATTTTCTGTCTAAGAAGGAAATTGAAAGGATGAAAAGATTAAACCGACTTTTTTGCAACACATATTTAACCCTTTATAGGACCCTCAGTGGAATCCTTTGAAAATCAACATATCAAGTCAATAGTGTTATTGGAATCCGGGACAAGATCTCATTACCTTTATAACATTAAAGAAATATGGATATTTTGATGGTAAAATTTAATGTCAATGTAAGAACAAGAAAACGCCAACCCGCCCGAATATATGAAGAAAAATAACAAAAGTGCTTCTAGAAGAAATTCATGAAAAACACTTTTTTTGGTCCAACTTAACCTTAGAGGCATTAATGCTGATGCTGGCTCTGACATGTTTTAGTTTATAAACCTAAATATAATTGTTAAATAGGCTTATTAACTTGTTAACTTCAGCTTTTTAACTTTTTTCTTGACGTGTTAACTTTTTTATTAACTTTTTACCTTGTTTTTCTTGAGTTTAAAAAAAAAATATATTAACTTTTTACCTTTTTTTCTTGATTAAAAAAAAAATTTATTAACTTTTTACCTTTTTTTCCAAACTTATTTTCCAGTAGGTAATCTATCATTCAAGGGCTCATCTTATTGGTCAAATGCCAAAATCAGATGTGCAGCCATGTAGCAGGCTCTCTGCTGATTGGCTGGATATAGATCTTTTGCTTCTAGAGCTCCCTGAGGGATGGGGGGACTCCTTTTGTAAGGGGTATGCAGGTGATGCAGCCTTCTCTTACTGTATACCTTTCAGGGTTCTGCCCTCGGCTTGAGTTTATTTATTTTTTAATCACTGTCTTTTTATTGAGTTTTCCTTTTATACATACAGTTTGTAAATACAAAAATATATAATTGTCCAACAAAGATAGATATAGAAACATATACAGTAAAAACTTGGTCCACCCGGGACAGAGAGGCTGTTCCTTGTTTGGGTATGACGTCACTACGGCGAACGCCTAGGACCTTCTTCTTCTTGTTGGATTTATTGGTGGTTGGCAACAAACCTTTAGTAGGATTACCGCCACCTACTGGTATGGAGTGTGGACAGGTGGCCAGTTCAGTCAGCCATAAATACTCTCCCTGTGCACTTTCAGTGCTGTTTCCTCTTCTTTCCTCGGCTTCTTGTTTTCCCTGATGTCTCCACGGTTCTGGTTTGTTTCACATTTCTAAGTTGGATTTTTGGATTCCTGCCTCTGTTGCCTTTGAACACACTAAAACTACAAGAACTGACCTCTGATTCCCTGCTTCTGCATTTGGGTCCTCAGACTTCCACTCAACCTGACTATACCTGTACGGCAGAGCATCGTAATAACAGCACAGACGTCAACTTTCATTTCCAGACTTTCATATTTTGTCCTTAGACAGGATTTATCTTAGAGGAGCATTATAATTCATAAAAATAACGCATCTAAATTGTTTCATGATTTATGAAAATAGGGTTATTTTTTTTTATTTGCAGCCCTTATATCTAAGGGAAACATATTCCAGGACATTACAGCTTCTTTCTTTTTTATGCTTTTTTTTGTACTATATACACTCTGGTCTAAAGTCTTACTCAAGAAAAAAAAAATTCAGCAATTTAAAGTATTTTTCAAATAATAAAGGATGGCATAATCAAGAGAATATATATTTTTATTTAAAACTAAGATGTTAAATAATTAAGAAGTAGTTCATGATGGATCTTAGAACCGAATGTTTCCCTGAGGACTAAAAGCATAAATCTATTCCTCTTAAACTGGGTGAACTGGGTGACTTGACTTGAACTCTGTCTGCCTGTTTAAACTTTATTTTTCTTCTTGAGCTGATAGAACAGCAGCAAAGATGAGCGTAAATGTAGGTTCCACTACATAAACTGCCAACGTGTGAGGTAAGGGGTAGTAGATGGTTCATATCTAAACAAACCTTGTGTTCGACTGAAACACCTGCGTGTTTTGCGGAACAACAAACCATGGAACGTCGGAGATCTTCTTGGAAAACACCGATTTGACATTTTGATTCCTAAGATGAGGCAAAATTCACAGAAAATGTTACATCTTACAAGTCTACCCCTGTTGTGTCTAGACATTTAACTTCAAGCAGCGTCTTGTTTCAAAAACATGTTCCTTTTTTTCAGCAATACCTTCATTAATTTTCACAAGTTTTAAAACCCAACATAGAAAATTAAGACGCTTTAAATCCAACCAATTAGCAGGTTAATGCTGCAGGTTCCCACCAAATACTGTCTTATATAGGGTAATAAAACAATCCAGGAATTGGAGAACAAGCTATAAAAAAAGTCACAATGTTTAATTAAATCTCCACTTTAACAGAGAGAAATATAATATCACACAGAGATTATCAGAACAAAACACTCAATCCTGATTCCAAACATTATTTTCAAGTATAAAAGGTTAATTAAACCAATTTGACCAACTGTTAAAAGTAAAATTAACCTAGTTTTATGAAAAACGGGATCAATCTCCAGCCAGATCTAGACTGTATTATATCTAAATTTACTCCAAGGGAGCAACGCCGGCTGATCCAGGAGGCAATGAAAGCACCCAGAACAACATTAAAAGCTCCACAGACCTGACCTGCCTCATTTAGAGTCAGAGTTCACCATTTAACCATTTAAGAGAAACAGGACTACACTGGAAAACAGGCCAAGCTCCAACATCTAGAAACAAAGGTGTTGATGGCAGCAGCACAGCTGATATTTCTCTCCAGGATGGAGTCACAGCCAAACAGGAACAGACCAGATGAAGCTACTATGAGAAAAAGCAGAGAGAGCAGAACGTTAGAGATTGAACTAACAGATTCTGCAGAGTGGGAGAATAGAGATAGAATGAAGCAGAATGATGAAAAAGGGGTCCCTATGTCCTCCAGCAGTCTAAGCCTATAGCAGCAGAACTATAGAGATAGCTCAGGATAACCTGAGCCACCCTAACTATAAGCTTTATCAAAAAGGAAAGTTTTAAGCCTAGCCTTAAAAGTAGACAGGGTGTCTGCCTCACGGACTAAAACTGGTAGTTGGTTCCACAGGAGAGGAGCCTGATAACTAAAAGATCTGCCTCCCATTCTACTTTTAGAAATTCTAGGAACCACTAGTAAACCTGCAGATTGAGAGCGAAGTGCTCTGTTAGGAACATAAGGAACAATCAGATCTCTGATATCAGATGGAGCTTGGCCATTTAAGGCTTTATATGTGAGAAGGAGGATTTTAAATTCTATTCTTGATTTAACAGGAAGCCAATGAAGAGAAGCCAGGATAGGAGAGATATGATCTCTCTTTTTCATTTTCATCAGAACTCTGGCTGCAGCATTTTGGATCAGCTGAAGGCTTTTAACTACAGTTTGTGGACTTCCTGATAGTAAAGAATTACAATAGTCCAGCCTTGAAGTAACAAGGCTCATTCACTCTAGTCAAATTCAAGTCCTATTTCTTCTTTTTTATTCATCATCTTTAGTTATGTTCTGAGGAAAGGGGGCTGGTTAGGATCAAAATAGTGACCTACGTTGACCTGAGTCAATAAAATCCACCAAATTTAACCATCTCGCTTATGAGACCTATTTTCCTTTTAAGAATGTGGATTCCTATCAACTCAACCCCTTTACAGGAGAACAGAAGACCTTGCCTATTCAACATTTCCCTCTAATGACCTCCCTTTCAGAGACATAGACAGGTATGGGGCATTGCAGGCTAACAAAGAAGCCAAACGACCCCAAAGGGGGGGACCCGTTCATCCGTTTCTATTTGCATGTTTTCTAAACTAAAACCAGGCTTTGTTGGGCTGCTGGATAAAACCTGGAACTAAACGCTATTTCTGACATTTTGAATTGAAAAATCTTCCTGGATGGAAGAGAAACGTCTTCAAACTTGGAAACAAAGTCCAGTGGATTGACTTTTTTTTTTGTTTTTTGTTTACTTTTTAGAATTAATTCATAATGTTTAGAACAGGCATCCCCAAAGTCTGTCCTGGGGGGCCGCTATCCTGCAGGTTTTAGAGGTTTCCTGCTTCAGCATATCTGATTTTCATTGATTGCTGATTAACAGGCTTTTGCTGAACTGCAATCATCAGAATCAGCTGTGCTAAAGCAGAGAAACCTCTAAAACCTGCAGGACAGCAACCCCCCAGGACCGACTTTGAGGACGCCTGCTGGGGAGTAAAAAATGTTGAGTTATGTCTGTTCTTAGCCTCACAGGCTCCAAACGAAGGTCATGAAAGAGAAGAATGAGTCACACAGCCTCCTTCATGGCATGCAGCAGAGGACTGCTGCTTTGAGGAGATGCATCTGGTCAGTGAAAGATAGATTAACCTGACAGGGAACGGCCTTGATGAACTCAAGTTGTTTTTCCTCCAAATGTTCAAGTGTGAGAAAGTTCTTTATGCAGGGGGTGGGATAGTTCCAAGGCAGAGTGTTTGTAGTCCTCAGTCAGAGCTCTATGTCTCCATCTGAGGGCGTTAAATACATTTGAACATTCTCAGTCTCAGCTTCCGCCTCAACTTCACACTGCCTTAGAAGATTATATTTTTTATTTACTCAGATTATTTTAGTCTAAGTGCAACAGAAAAAAAATAGGGCGAATCTGGTAAAAAACATAATTTCAAGGCATTAGACATGTAAAACAATTTCTCTATTTTATTTATTGTTTTTCCTTTTTAATTTAGTCTGCAGTGCTGCAAAGAACATTAACCTCTCCAGTCTCCTTAATATGATCTCCTCAAAAGGAGACCTTTCCAGAGGCAAAACAAAAATGGAAATTGTCTAATTAAATTAAGTTCCTTGCAAAAACAAAAACAGAAAGTACGCAGAACAGACAGTACAGGTTGATTATATTTTTGCAGGATATTAACGGCTAAAGCAAAGTGTTGTCTTCAGAAGAGTTGATCCATAAAGACAGCCTCTATTTTGTGTCATTTTCCAGACATTTTGACATCTCATTTTTTCGTCTCTATGGAAAGATGCTGGCGCCGCGGCTACAGTTCTCAGAAACAAACCCTGCGTTCACAGAGTGAAAACAGGAAAATCACTGGAACCTTTCCCTTTTAGGACGTGCTTCACAACAAACAAACTGCAGCTTACTCTGATGACCTCAGCCCTGGAGTTGATATAAAGCCCTGATCCTCTGAAGGTCCACATGCTGAGAAGAGACGTTGCATTCTGAGAGGCTTTTTTCCCCCCCGGATTGAGATGATTCAAGTTTCAAGAACGCCAGAGTTTTCAGACTTTGGGAACATGAATATGATTTCTTACGCTTCTCCTGAACAAGACCTGAGCTCCATGTCGACGGGCAGGAGACCGAGATCTCATTCATATAACAACCCAGACGACAGTAAGAACTTTGGTTTGCAAACACAGCTCAGCATTGCAAGACCTCGATCCAGGTACGTTTTTAGCCTTATTTTCAGGACATTTGGGCTTCAGTCTTCTAATCAGGGGGGGATTTACCATTAGGCAATACTAGGCAGTTGCCTAGGGCCCCAAGTTCCTGGGGCCCCCCATTGATTTGTGCACATTAATTATATTTTTGATTTTTTTTTTTAATAGCTAAAATGCCATCAGTCCATTTGCTGCACATGTTCAGAAAGGTCCAAACAGACAGCAGCAAACCATTTGAAAACAAACCACGCAAAGAGCAGCGTTGCCAACTTAGCGCTTTAGTCGCTATATTTAGCCACTTTTCAGACCCCTCTAGCACTTTGATTTCTAAAAAGCTCCTAGCGCCAAATCTAGAGACTTTTTTCTGCTACCGGAGACTTTGGAGACAACATCTAAAAGCAGCGAACTCTGCTCTCCAGAGCGAGTAGATTGGTAACCCCGCCTCCTGCTCTCCTCTATCTTGTCTGCTGTCATGATTCATGCAGCTATTATTTCATCCAAATGAAAAATGGAGAACAGATAAGCAGATCATGGCTTGTCTACAGTGAAAAGAAGGACTGGGTTATTTACTTTGGCCTTTTTGGAAACACAGGAAGGAGCAATCAGCTAAGTGAGCTTAGTGCTTGGAAAAAATCTTTCATTCCTTTAGCGACAGCATGAAAAGTCAGCTGAGTACAAAACATAGAGAGGAAAACAAGAAGAAAAGGGACAAGAAGAGAGGGACACAACCTAGAACAGATAATGGATGTCTATTCTATTAACATTTCTCTATCTGGAGAATGGCTCTGTTTGATGTCTTCTCCATTCAGAGGGCCCCCTGCCTGTCTTTGCCTAAGGCCCCACATTTCCTTAATCCGCCCCTACTTCTAATATTTCTTTAGATTGCTGTTGTCTGTTTCCGCAGTCGAGTTCTTACACGACTAATAACCAATGTACTCACTGAGTAACATTTAACTAAAACCTTCTCCTTTAGGTCATTTTACAGTTATGAGACATCAGAGCTGCACTCCGAGTTCGAGACAGGAAACTTCTCACGTTCCTCCCCTCTGAGGCAGAGAACAAGCTCGCAGTTAAGACATCAAATGTCCAAAAACGAGGATAAAGATGAGAAACACTCCGTTCCGGTTCCCATCAATCCAAAGAAGTCTAAACCAGTTAAGCTGTCGAGAGAGATCAGTGGTACGGAACCAGTGCTTTATTGGAGGACTATAAATGCTTTAAGGCAGGGGTGGGCAATTCCACTTCTTGGGGGCCGGTATCCTGCAACTTTTAGATTCATCCTTGGTCCAACACGCCTGAATCAAATGAGTTACCTCCTCAGAATGCAGTCACAGATTCCTCTCGATCATCTAATTACTTGATTCAGGTGTGTTGCACCAAAGGCACATCTATAAGTTGCAGGATACCGGCAATCAGGAACTGGAGTTGCCCACCCCTGCTCTAAGTTGTGAGGGAAAATAATGAATTAGAATGTGGTTCCTTCATTTAGGGAGTAAAACCAGACGGGTGTCCATGATAACCATCTCTGAGTCGGACAACTGGGAAATTTGCTCCAGCTCCGGTATGAAGTACGGCCAGTTTGTGGACTGGGAGAAGATTGATCCAGAGCCTGCAAAGAAATACCAGCAGATCCTGAAGAGCAGCCACCAGCAGCTGAAAACCATGGGCCGAGAGGGATTCTGGGCCGTGCCGCATACCCTGAGGGCCAAAGCTTACTATCATATCATCCACAACATCAACTCCAGGTGAACATCTACGCTGTTGTCAGACTTTCTATCGAAATGGATCTACCATCTGTTTCATAAACTAACCAAGCAGCTTTATCTGTTGCAGAGCTGTTACTCCAGACAGAGATGTTTACTACAATCTGGCCAAGAAGCTTTTTGGGGAACAGAAAGTTAGCACTCACCCAGTCCCGGAGTACATCGAGGATGGGGAAATACCGAGGTAATTTAATGCCCCCCCCCCTCAACTGGAACAGTTTTAAGAAGTTCCTGCACCTTGTGGTAGGAAAGTTAAGATTTCTCTTGTTTTATATACTTAGTTATGCTAGTTATCCAGTGAAAAATGTTTTTACTCAGTTTGTTTCACCTGCAAGGCTGAGAAAATGTCTGAGTGAGGGGTGGTCTTTACGGTGGCCCTGAAGTGCAAACTGCAACTACAAATCTAAAAGCGCCACTTAATTAAGGAAATCGCAACTACATAAAGCAAAGCGCAACTACATTAAGAAAAACAAATACATTAAGGAAAACAAAACTACATAAAGCAAAGCGCAACTACATTAAGGAAAACAAAACTACATAAAGCAAAGCGCAACTACATTAAGGAAATCAAAACTACATTAAGCAAAACAAAACTACATAAAGCAAAGCGCAACTACATTAAGAAAAACAAAACTATATAAAGCAAAGCGCAACTACATTAAGGAAAACAAAACTACATAAAGCAAAGCGCAACTACATTAAGAAAAACAAAACTATATAAAGCAAAGCGCAACTACATTAAGGAAAACAAAACTACATAAAGCAAAGCGCAACTACATTAAGGAAAACAAAACTACATAAAGCAAAGCGCAACTACATTAAGAAAAACAAAACTACATAAAGCAAAGCGCAACTACATTAAGAAAAACAAAACTACATAAAGCAAAGCGCAACTACATTAAGGAAAACAAAACTACATAAAGCAAAGCGCAACTACATTAAGGAAAACAAAACTACATAAAGCAAAGCGCAACTACATTAAGAAAAACAAAACTACATAAAGCAAAGCGCAACTACATTAAGAAAAACAAAACTACATAAAGCAAAGCGCAACTACATTAAGGAAAACAAAACTACATAAAGCAAAGCGCAACTACATTAAGAAAAACAAAACTACATAAAGCAAAGCGCAACTACATTAAGGAAAACAAAACTACATAAAGCAAAGCGCAACTACATTAAGGAAATCGCAACTACATAAAGCAAAGCGCAACTACATTAAGAAAAACAAAACTACATAAAGCAAAGCGCAACTACATTAAGGAAAACAAAACTACATAAAGCAAAACGCAACTACATTAAGAAAAACAAAACTACATAAAGCAAAGCGCAACTACATTAAGAAAAACAAAACTATATAAAGCAAAGCGCAACTACATTAAGGAAATCGCAACTACATAAAGCAAAGCGCAACTACATTAAGGAAATCACAACTACATAAAGCAAAGCGCAACTACATTAAGAAAAACAAAACTACATAAAGCAAAGCGCAACTACATTAAGGAAAACAAAACTACATAAAGCAAAGCGCAACTACATTAAGGAAAACAAAACTACATAAAGCAAAGCGCAACTACATTAAGAAAAACAAAACTACATAAAGCAAAGCGCAACTACATTAAGGAAAACAAAACTACATAAAGCAAAGCGCAACTACATTAAGAAAAACAAAACTACATAAAGCAAAGCGCAACTACATTAAGAAAAACAAAACTACATAAAGCAAAGCGCAACTACATTAAGAAAAACAAAACTACATAAAGCAAAGCGCAACTACATTAAGGAAAACAAAACTACATAAAGCAAAGCGCAACTACATTAAGGAAATCGCAACTACATAAAGCAAAGCGCAACTACATTAAGAAAAACAAAACTACATAAAGCAAAGCGCAACTACATTAAGGAAAACAAAACTACATAAAGCAAAGCGCAACTACATTAAGAAAAACAAAACTACATAAAGCAAAGCGCAACTACATTAAGAAAAACACAATTACATTAACCTACCGGAAAAGGTAGGTACCAGTGGGAAACATGAGACATTGCTGATTGGACGACGGCGCCGTTGGACCCTTGAACCGGAAGTCATTCTGCCTGCTGCGGCTTTTGAAAACATGGATACTGTCGGCGCCCCAAACATAGCTGCCGTTATCCAGGAACATTTTGAATCAGGACATACGTACGAGGTGATACTGGATATGCTCAAGGCTAATCACGAAATTTCAGTTAGTTTGCGTACACTGAAGACACACTTAAAAGAAGCTGGACTGTTCAGACGACGCAACTTCCGGTTCAAGGGTCAAACGGCGCCGTCGTCCAATCAGCGATGTCTCATGTTTCCCACTGGTACCTACCTTTTACGGTAGGTTAATGTAGTTGTGTTTTCCTTAATGTAGTTGCGCTTTGCTTTATGTAGTTGCGATATCCTTAATGTAGTTGCGCTTTTAGATTTGTAGTTGCAGTTTGCACTTCAGGGCCACCGTAGGTCTTAGACAAAACATACTTATTCCCACGACAGGCCAAATAGTTTCTCAAGGGTTAAAGTGTGTAATAAACCTTCACAGTTTTTGCATCAACATAAGTAAGGGAGACAAACTCTGTCTAGTCAGAACAGGGCTGATTACAGAGCAGGAAGATGAACTGTTCTCTCTTTGCAAAGATATGAAGATGAATTGCCAACTGAGGGAAATCCATCGATCTCCATTTATTTAACTAGGGTGAATAGTGGATGGAATACTGTTTTCTCACTACAACCTACAGTCAAGATGTTCTCCCCTTTAACCCGTTGCACATACACTGGAAAAAGTTACTTTTTGGTGCAGTAAACTCTATTAGAGTGTTTTTCATAATTTCTACTCTGTATTTTTAAGCTTTAGTAAAAACTTTTATTTTGTAATACATGAATTTGGGGAACAGAGTAGGTTTTACTCAGATTTCCTTATACTATCTAAATGTGTTGTGGTGCAGCTTTGATGAGACAAAAGTCCACAAAGGCCACAGATTCATCGTTGATAAGTTATTTACACAAGCAAAGAAAAAATGTTCCAGGTAAACTCCTTCATTTTTCTTAGTTTATTTCTCCTCATTCAAGCAAACAGAAAAGGACAAACATTTCCTCCATGCTTCTGTTGTGCTTCACCCAAATTAATCATAACTAACCAGAAACAAAGGAACATAACTAAATAACCAAAAAATATAATCTTCAAACAGATATCAAACAAAGTAGAATAAACTTAGCTAGATTGTCCACAAAAATAATTGACATTAATAATTAATAATTGGCTCCTACAAAATGTTTAAATAAATTTTGGGGAAAGAGTAAGTTTTACTTAGCTTTCCTTATACTATATAATTAACCTCTTTTTTTAAGGTCTATGTACTATTTTTAGGTTATGTACATACTGCTATATTTAATAGCAGTATGTACATAACCTAAAAATACCTCTTAAACTTTACTCTAAAACGAGTCGATGCAGTCAGCTTGTTTTCCTTAGATAGAAAACTTTGAATCAATCTGACTGGATGATCTGGTTGAACTGGAAAGTTACCTGAGATGACATGATGTGAATTGGAGCTATAGAAATGAATTCCGTAAAAATTCAAAAAATATCCACTGGACTTGGTTTTCAAGATTTGAAGACGTTTCGCCACCTCTCCAGGAAGCTTTCTCAATTCAAATGTCTGGATCCGCAGTGAGTCAGTGAGAAATTTGAATTGAGAAAGCTTCCTGGAGAGGTGGCGAAACGTCTTCAAATCTTGAAAACCAAGTCCAGTGGATATTTTTTGAATTTTTACGGAATGACTATGACCTGGATGACTGAGAACCTTCATCAGCATATAGAAATAAACTGAATTGAATTGAAAATGTAGCATTATGAGATGCACGGACGGCGCATACGCACTGTAGCTCCCAGCAGGACTGGTTCTGCTCTGAGTCCAGATGTTACGATGACACACAGAGCAAGAGGTCGTCCCGACGACAGTCCTGGCTGCTCATGGGACTGATATATGCCCTGAACTTGGCATACTCTCCAGCTTTGCGCTAAAACTTTCAAAGTCTTCCAAAAACCTTTCCTTAAGTTGGACGGATTTAAACTGTCCCCAAAAGTAAACACCCTGAAGTTGCTTTCCTAAATGCGTTCACAACTTTGTCATCTTATGGTAGGAAAATGTGGCATCAGATGCCAAGAATTAACAGCAGGTTCCAGTTGATCTTAGTGGAAGGTTGCCTGTATTAATGTTTATTTTTTCCCAAATAAGGTTCTGGGTTCGATTCCCGGCCCGGGGTTGTAGTTGTAGTGTCTATTCTCAAAGTATTCAGTTATTCACCCCAGTTAAATAAACATAGATTGATGGATTTCGCTCAGTCGGAACTTCATTTTTATATCTTTACAAAGAGAAAAAAGTTCATCATACGGCCCTTATTGCACGGTAATCAACCCTGTTCTGATCTGGGCAGCGTTTGTCTGCCTTACTTATAATGAGGAAAAGCTGTGAAGGTTGTGTCACGCCATATTACTCACACTTTGGTCAAACAATAACAATTCTTGAGAAAGTATTTGTCTTGTTATGGAATAAGTATTGTTTGTATGCAAAACATTTCTCACTCAGACGTTTTGTGGCCTTGCAGGTGAAACAGACTGAATACAAACATTTTTCACTGGATAAATAGCATAACTAAATACATGAAACAAGAGAAATTTAAATTTTCCGATCAAAAGGATCTTTCTGCATAGAGTTTGCATGTTCTCCCTGAGCATGCGTGGGTTCTCTCCGGGTACTCCGGCTTCCTCCCACAGTCCAAAAACATGACTGTTAGGTTAATTTGCTTCTAAATCCTCCTTAGGTGTGAGTGTCTGTGAATGGTTGCTTGTACTGTTTGTCTCTGTGTTGCCTTAAAATTTTGAGTAGAATGCTGTTTGTGTCTATGAAAAACAAATACACTTTACTTAATTTAGTTTAAATAAATCTAACTGACAACTTGGATGTAATTTTACTTCATTTTAAATTTGACTTAATATCTTCATAACTGTTATGTCTTATGGAAAGTAAAATTCACTTGATACTATCAAGTGAGTGTTACTTGATATTGCAGCATTAGATTTTACTTAAATCATTTGAGTGCAAATACTTACTATATATTTTTTAAGTAAATCTTATGAGTTGTTGTTTTCAGTGTACTGTAGTTGAGATAAAGACATTTAAAATGTAGAAACTGTATTTAAAGATCCATCAATAAGTTAGCCTCGTGAGACCATCCTGATCTCGCGAGCTTTCAAGGTTTCACTCGCAGATCAGTCTGGAGACTCTCCGTTAAAGAAAATTTGGAGCCGTTCACCAAACGAACGTCCAATCAGCGTTGGCTTTGAGGCGGGTTGAGGTGTGACGCAACGAGAAGCGCGACAGTTCAGTCTAAAGAACATGGCAGCTTCAGCCGATGAAACTAGCGTTAGCGTGGCTATCGAGCAAGTTTTATCGGAATTACAGAGTATTTCTTCACTGAAAGAAGAGCAAAACACTGCTCTGGAGGCTTTTCTCAGAGGAAAAGATGTTTTTGCTCTTCTCCCGACTGGTTTCGGCAAGAGTTTGATCTATCAACTGGCTCCTCTTCGTCATCGCTCTGTTAGTACGTCATATGCTTCGTTGACCTGATTGGTTTATTTGGCCCGTCTATCACCAACATAGGCCAATCAGCTAACCAGTATTTTTGCCCCTTCCCAAAATTACTTCAACGGAAGGTTTCCAGATGGATATGAGGAGCAAATCCATCTGGCGCAGTCAGGTTACCAATAAGTCCTATCCTCCAAAAACCGTGATGTCTGTGGACAACTGCACCTCTAAATATTTTAGGAAGCAGATTATCTCCTATATTTCTGAAATAGTGTCTTTACACCAGTGGTCTCACACTCCGATCCTCTAAATCAAAGCTAGTGAGGCACATTTTAAAGTTCCAAGGCCCTAGCCTTCGAAGGATCTGAGCCTGATACAACTCCCTTACGATTGCCGAGTTCGAATTCAGCAGCTAAGTCCTCTGAAGGCCAGATTAGTTGATTACGTCTTTGCGTGACGCCGAGGCCTGTTTGGATTGGACGACTCCTTGTTATGCGGCCAACAAATGCATCCTTCTTTTTGCCCGATTTGACATACGGGTCTAAGCAAGCCTGCTGTTCTGTGCGGAAAAAGGGAAATGGCGCAGAACAGTGGTGAATATTGGAGGGGCAGTTTAAAGTAATCCAAGTATGTGGATAGCTCCGTCTGAAATGAATGAAAATAGTTGTTTTAAATAGTTATTCAGTGGCAGGTAATATTTGGTTTATTGAAAGGTTTTATCTGTCCCTGCTGTAAAGGGTTACGCGTGATATTTAAGCTCAGATTCCAACATCTCTGCAGTGTGAGGACTATAAATCTGATATCCATGACCACGGTGCACTTTATAGATTTGAAATGTTCATTTACTGTCTGAAAAGTTGGACTCCATGAAATTTTAACAATAAAAGTTGTCTAAGTCTACGTCTAATGTTCTGATCCTTACAGTTCTTCCTGTTTACTTCTTTTACCAGATACTGTCTCAACAAAGCAGGCATGAATTCTGTGAAAAAGATCCTCCTCTGCCTCAGTGATTACTTCCCCGACATGAGCTACTGCCCCATCCTTCCTGCCTTGGTCTCTCTCATACTCCACTTCAGTGAGGATGAAGCAGAGTGTTTCTACAGTGTGTCGAGACTCATCTGCTACAAGGACCCGAATAAGCGCTACATTGACCAGACCTTTCTGACCTACCATGCTTCCTGTATGACATTTGGGCACATTGCCAATAGGTGTTGCAGAGGCATACGGAAACTGATTGCCAGCTCCCACCAAAACCTCTTTGAATTTTACTCTGACTGGATCATGTGGATTTTCGCAGACCTTCCATTCACATATGCAATCAGAGTTCTGGATGTCTACCTACTGGAGGGCTTCAAGGTTCTCTTCAGGTTTGTCGTGGCTCCAGTTCAGCTCTGAACATTTGATTTCTCCTGGCCTGAACACAGTGAATTTATCTCCCAATCTGTTTGTAGGATCGCTCTGGCTTTGCTGGATCTCTACAAAACGTCAGTGTCGTCTCGAGTGGCAGACGTCGGAGACTTCAGGACTGACATGAAGTGTTTTGTGCAAAGCGTGGATCGCCACTGCACGTCTGAGAAGCTTCTGGAAAGAGCCTTCCAGATCCCGATTGCTACTAGAAGCGAGCTCAACCTTTTGTTCAGTGCAAATAAGGATGCCTTGATGCAGAAAGGTGTCAGCACTCACCAAAAGAGGTATGTTTGCAATTGCATCGCAATTGACTAAGCAACTATGTAAAGGGGTCTCCAACCCTGGTTCTACAGATCTACAATAGCAGCCATTCAAAATGGCCCTTCATAGTCAAACGCGCCCCTTCCTTTCAACTCCTAGCAAAAGCCACTCCAACTTCCAGCCAAGGGAGTGACCCCTTCTTTCATATTTTTTTGACTCATACTCCACCCTTTAAGGTTTGGCCAGGATGTAACACTTCTCTTTAGATCTTAATGTCCAAAGTTCATGACAGAATATTTTAGATGCCTAAAATGGAACTGTTCTGGACCAGCCAAGGACCTATCAAGGAAAGTCGGGAAATTTTGAATGGCTACTACTATACTTTCCTGCAAGTTTTTGATGCCTGGGGTCCCTGATCAAACACAGCGTACCTCTTCAGTACGCCATCAAGTTTGGTAAAGGCCTGGTAAGGAGTAACCTGACTCCTGACACCTTCCGTTGAAGTAATTTTGGGAAGGGGCGAAAATACTGGTTAGCTGATTGGCCTATGTTGGTGATAGACGGGCCAAATAAACCAATCAGATCAACGAAGCATATGACGTATGTAAAGGAAGAAAATATTCTAACATAGTTAACTTTGGAAAAAGATTGGCTTCTGATTCTTCCCTTCCCCAGGTCCACTCGGCGAGCTGCGTTTGGTAATAAAACCAACATTGCGTGTTGACGTCACAGAATTACAGAGTTTAATCCAATATAAGACAATGCATACACTTTAGAAATAAGACAATGCACAAACCTACACCAGAAACTGCAGAACAACAGAGACATATATTCCATTACCTGACATAGGAGGAAAGAAAGCAAAGAGTACAGAGACATCTTTGGAGAGTTGCAAGGGCAAATCTGATCTTTTTCTTCTATTTAGAAAGCTTTATCCTCTTGTATCTAATCCATTCAAAAAGGGGCTGGCCCTCGGTCCTCCAACCAACGCCATCTCTGACACTGCTAGGGCTTCCCCTTATTTACTGCAAACATCTGGGGTCATTTGCTTCTTTGTTTTAACAAGAAAAGGTGGAAAGCTTGTCCTGGCATCTAGAATTCTTAGGGTCATAAAACACAAGATAAGCTTCCACAGACAGCTTGTGGAATGCGGGGGGCCTCACCATAAATTTTCAGGAACAAACTTAAATTTAGTAATCTGGTTCAAGGAAAGGTTATCTTCACAAACTTGTTCAAAATAAGAAATATGAGAAAAGGAGAGTATACAACATACCTTTTACACATGCCATAAGATTAACTGTATTAAAGTCTAAAAATAATCATTTTTCTTTTAACAGTCCCCGTTTTGAGGTCTGAGACATACAGACCTCACAAATAAAATGATTAAGCTTCTAATAGAGGAACCAAAAAATTATTTAGTATACTAAAAAACTAAAACATTAGCCCAATTTTATAACAGTCCCCTTTTTTAAACAGCACCTCCTAGGTCCCCTGCCAGGCCATGTGTCTAAAGCTGAACTCCATAATCCTAAACTTATCAAATGTATCTTGGCTGTCCCAAAAATTTAAAAACTCACCCGATGAAC